TTTTTTTTTCATATTGTTCAACATTTCCTTGAGAACCCTTAGTATATTAATCATATTTGGTTTAAATTTCTTATCTGACAATTCCAACATCTCTTCTATACCTAATCTGGTTCTGGCGCTTGACCTCTGTCTTCTAATTCTGTTCTTAAAACCTTTTCGTATTTCGTATATTTTCTTGTTGAAAACTGGACAAGATGTACTGGGAAAAAGAAACTGAGGTAAATAGGCCTTGAGTGTGAGTTCTAGGTTTATCCTACTGGGTTTTGTCTCTGTTTACTGTTTTCAGTAGCTGTAGATGTCAGAGGTTAAAATTTCCTTTGGTGTCCTTGCTTTTCTCTCTCCTGTCATCTTTGGGGTTCTCTAGACACTTGCTAAATAAAGTCTGAAACATGCAGAAGGAAACTGCAATATTCTTTCATTGCAGCCACCTGTTTTTAAACAGAAACTCTAATGACAATACTGGTAATCTGTAGGTGGAAGGGAAACATGTTATAGTCCTATGATTTGATCTCAGTCTTTTAGTGAGCCTGTGCCCCTGAGCTGTAATGTTTTGTGATATGATATGATTAGTCTTTGTATGTGATTCCTAGCACAGAGCTCCTAAATCCCTTGAATTTCACAAGTGAGAAGGGTGAAAGGATCCTCCTTATTTGCAAAGTAGCACTCTTAGGAGATCCTAGATGACTTTAGGATTAGGATTGGTGACCACAAAGACCCACCCTTGAAGTTTCAGCCCTAGCCCCCAGCCTCACAAAAGAAAAGAGGAGCTGGAGATTGAATTAATCATTAGTGTGTAATGATTTAATCAATCATATCTATCTGATGGGACCTTCATAAATATTGGGGCTCTGAGAACTTCCATGTTGGTGAACATATTGAGGTGCCGTGAGGATGGCACACCCAGGGAATGCATGGAAACTTCCCACCTCCTCCCCATACCGACCAATGGGCCTCTTCCACTTGGCTGTTTGTGAGTTGTATGTTTTGTAATTAAACCAGTGATGCTAAGGAAGTCACTCTCCTGACTTCTGAGGGAGGCCCTAGTGAATTACTGACCTATAAAGGGTGTTGTGAGAACTCCAGATTTGTAGTTGGCATATAGAAGCATGGGTGGCCTGGGCACCCCACTGTGTGACTTGCATCTGACATGGGGGCAGTCTTGTGGGACTGAGTGCTTAACCTGTGGAGTCTGACTAATTCTGGGTACTTAAAATTGGATTATATTTTAGGGCACAGTCAATGTCAGAGAGTTGGAGAATGGTGTTGGAAAAGACACCTTGTATTGGTGTTGGGAAGACAAAAAATGGTTCACTTTCACACATGCTTCTGTGTCCCTGCTCCCAGATCACATAGGCTTTGGCAAACTCCTAGTAGGTTAGGCTTTTGTTGAAATGGATTTTTTTGAGAATAGGCCTTCTTAAGAAGAACATGATGTTCTGGGAATATTATAAAATTGTTCCTTTTCCTATTTGTCTCTCAAATTTTAGAGAGAAAACTTTGCCTTATGACCCTCAATTCTTTAATGGATCTAAGAAGAGTAATTGATTTGATGTTTGTTTATTTTTTACTTGCGTGGCTGGGAATGACAATTTCTACGTTCCTTACTTGTAAGACCAGAAATTGGAAGTCTCTGACTTCATTTTTTTGTGATGTTTGATGGATGATCGCTTTAAAATCTCATTCTTGCCAGGCATGGGGGCTCATGCCTATAATCCCAGCACTTTGGGAAGTGGAGGCAGGCAGATCGCTTGAGCCCAGGAGTTCAAGACCAACCTGGCCAACATTGTGAAACCCTGTCTCTACTAAAAACACAAAAATTAGACGGGTGTGGTGGTGCACACCTGTAATCCCAGCTACTCAGGAGGCTGAGGCACAAGAATCGCTTGAACCCAGGAGGCGAAGCTTGCAGTGAGCCGAGATCACGCTACAGCACTCCAACCTGGGCAACAGTGAAACTCGGTCTCAAAAAAAAATGAAATAAAATAAAATCTCATTCCTCCTTTTCCACTATATACCCCACATCCAGATACGATAGGAAGAAAGCCTGGGTCACCCTCATTTGGTGCTGGTGAGACATCCAATCCACATTAGCCCCTGCCTATATGCATGAACTCTCACACTAGCCCACTCCCTAACCTCAGTGAAAACTCCAAGCCAGCCTACCCGCTCTTCCCAAGGTCTCAAGTATACATGTAATAAACCTTCTCCTGGTGTAGGGATTTTGTAGAGGTCTAAGTTGCCATACGTACCTCCTCAGGCCTGAGCTCTTAACTTCCCAGTAACCTCCTAGATCCATGAAATATGAGAGAGACAAAAGGAAGAACTGAGCCTGTGATAAATATTACACAAACAAGTTGAAATTAATACTTCTGCAAAGGAATATTTTCATTCAGCCAGCTGGATTTGAGTAGTCATAGTGGAACAGGAATTAAAAGAAATTTCAAAGACGTGTAAGCAAAAACTCAGTTATATGTAAGAAAAACCAGTTCCCCCTGAGGAAGAGAAAGAGCTGAAGTCCTTTAAAAATTGACTGCCTGTTTTTCTGTGGCTAGTGAGCCTTATCTCTCCCTCTCCCAGGCATTGTGAAGACTCTGTTTCTCTAGCTGTGCAGCTGCAAGGTCACTAAACAGATAATCTCAAGTCGTAAAACATGTTGTTCCTTGAAAAGTAAGAAATAATGTAATGCATGTCTTAATTGAATAACTGTCTTTGTTTCTCACTTCTGTCCCCCTGCACAAATCTCCCCCCACCCCACGAAATACTGAAAAGGTAGCTTGACTCTTTGTTCGAGGCTCAGTCCTTTAGATGTTAATCCAACTGGGTCAGCGCACCTAAGTAATTAAATAATTCCTCCTCAACGTGTCAATCTCTGATTCCTTAAAAATCCCACTGCAGTAGTGGCCCGGAGTCCTTCAGGACTTGGCCAGCAGCTCCTCATGACAATTTAGCTTTCCACAGGCCTCCTGGCCTCTCGTTTATTGATGGGAATAAAAGAAAAGCCTACCGTTCTTGAAGGTGTATTTATTTATTGAAACCTTACCCAGATTGATTCCATGTTTAATGAAATGCTGAGTAAGATGCTTCATAAGGTAGGAAATGAGTTTCTCACAAGGGATTAGAGGTCTTAAAATTTGTTTCATTTGTATAGCATTTCTCTTTTCCAATGTGAGCTTGAGTCCACCTTTAGAGAACAATAAAGTTCCAAATAATCACAGTAAAAATATAGAAGTAATTGATCAGGCACAGTGGCTCACGCCTGTAATCCTAGCACTTTGGGAGGCCGGGGGGTGGGGCAAATTGCCTGCACTCAGGAGTTCGAGACCAGCCTGGCCAACATGGCAAAACCCTGTCTCTACTAAAAATACAAAAAATTAGCTGGGTGTGGTGGCACATACCTGTAGTCCCAGCTACTCAGGAGGCTGAGGCACAAGAATCATTTGACCTCCAGAGGCAGAGGTTGCAGTGAGCCAAGATCAGACCACTGAACTCCAGCCTGGGCAATAAAGCAAGACTCTGTTTCAAAAAAAGAAAAAGAAAAAAGAAAAAAATAGAAGTAACTTCTGTGTGTTCATGATCGCATGAATTTTATGAGGAAGTCAGTGTGGACAGTTGTAGTTCTGACAGCCGAGTCATACACCAAATGTTTGGAGAACACAGAATTGTATGGGAACTTCTTATAAATCGAGTATAGATCCCCAGTACCACCAGTCTTACCCATCCTCCTGTAAACATATGTGGAATGTTTCAGAACTCAGTCTCCTTTGAGGATGTGGCTGTGAACTTCACCCTGGAGGAGTGGGCTTTGCTGGATTCTTCACAGAAAAAGCTCTACGAAGATGTGATGCAGGAGACCTTCAAAAACCTGGTCTGTCTAGGTAAGGATATCAACATTTCTCTCCTCAGTTAAATATAGAACACAGAACAAGTGTTTATTGCTTGACAGCTGTGTTCCAAGATTTGAAATGTGGAAAGGGAATCTTTCGGTGATTGAATCAGACAGAGTCACAGCTAATCATGAAACTAGACTATAATGATTTTCTATAATTTGTAATAATTTATAACGGTGTTTCTGGGTGTGCATTTTAGGAAAAAAGTGGGAAGACCAGGACATTGAAGATGACCACAGAAACCAGGGGAGAAATCGAAGGTGAGTTGCATCCACAGAAGAATAGCAGCCCGTGGGGGAATTTCAGAAGAAAGCAGGCAAAACAATTAAGCACAGCTTCAAATTTAGTTATTCCTAGAAAACTTTCACTGAAAATGTTTTCTTAAAAACATCATAGATGTTCAGGATGTGAAAAATAAATCAC